TGCAGTCAGTAAGACCAACTGTCGTACAAATCGCTGTAAGAAATAGTCATGGAGGGATTGAAAAGTTTGTGGCAAAATTGTAATGAGCTGTACCGAAGCAGTCCACTCCAGCAGCTTGTGCACACTGATTAACATCAAGCTCAGTTGTAGAGCAGTCACTGAATGTACTGGTACCATTGGCACATTGAATACTCAGTGGGAGGATGGGATTTGTCCCTCGACCATAGTTGACAACGACTGAAGCTATAATAGAATAACTATGACAAGTTGATAAGGCAACATGCATATTAATCACCATAGTAAGATGTATCATAGCCGATGGTTTCGCAGACAACTCTTGCCTCTTCTCCTGTGGTATCCCAGTCACTGGCGCAAACAGAGACCAGGTTCCATCTATAGCAGTAGCACTCTCCCTTGTGATACATCATCACCTCCAACCAGGTGAACCGTCCCTCAAATACATGTTACATCTAGAGAGAAAACTCCAGCTTACAGCAAAGCAACAAATAACTGTAATATATATGCTTAGACCATCCATCATCTACTTGTACTACAATAGCACTCCTATTCAATATTCCTGCATACAAACCTTGCGTCAAATAGGCCTTTTTCTGTACGGAAATGTATTATATATAGGGATGGGCACAGTACCCAGCATCATATGAGGTATGTATGATAGGGCGTTTTAATTATTTGTTTTGGATTTGTCCTTACAGCATCGTACTAACTAGCGTTAAACACCTTAATGCATTAAACTCACTGGTACATACGACTCCAGCAAGCCTCGTACAGGTAGCAGTCATGGATCAATACTCTGCTGACATGACAGTACACTGCGGACTGCTCTCAGTTACTGCCACGTGGACATCATCCAGATGATACCGTAGTTCGCAGCTATGCCATAGTGGCTTAGCAAGGGAATATGAGGCTATTAGGCCAAAATAGAAATCAAGTGAATGTGAGAGAGAGAACGCATTGGGTATCTAAACACTGTCATCATGGGAAGTTGCTGTGGATACTCTCATGATGTATTAATTTCTGAGTTTTCGGCTCACGTCCATCATATCCCATGCTGTCGGCACACAACTTCAGCGTCCCTGTAGGGTCCATCTGGTCGTCACTCACACGAGCCTTCCACAGACCGTAGAGAGCAAACTCTCAACCAGTCCATCATTAGGGGGGTTGTAGCGGCAACCAGCCTAAGCATCAGTTCCGTTGCAATCAACGGCGTCTAGGGTGTAACAATTTCAGAGTGCAGCACGTTGCGTATATATTGTTAAGAACTAACGCTACTGCGGACAAGGTAACTCCAGGCTCTTCAGACTCCATCACCACAGTTATGAATACCAACTCCGATCTATGTTCACATTCACTCAGTAGAGTGGTCATTGCCACTGCAGTCACAGTCATCAAGATAAGTGAGAACTAGACGACTCGTCTGTTAACACGCGAGTGGCTTGACACGTGCAAGCAGATGCTGCATGGCATATGCAAGAGAGTGAGAACTGTGAGCATACGTATTAGAAGGGTAAGCACCTTACTCCGTTGACCCTAGGTTGCTGACAAACCACTCTAGCATCTCTGGGTCAGTCCAAGCTGTCATGCAAAGATCTTACTGTAGCCCCACAGCAGCCCACTGAAGAATATGTCTGTCAACTCGTCCATCATCAGAAGTCACACCATCAACCAGTCTTACATCAGTCTCGTTTGCACTCATGGATCATTGGGCTAATGAAAAACTCCAGGAGAGATGGGACTTTACACCAAAAACAACTCAACACTGACATGTAACTCCAGCTACTTCTGCCAGTTCCATAAGATCGTGAACACCAATTCCGTCCATGGCACAATCACTCAACATTCTTCGCTTTCCAGACCGCACTCAACATCCTCCGATGATTATGACAGTGAGTTAATAGACAAAACATGAGGCTCTCATCAGGGCAATAGGCCCTGGGATGGTAAACAATTGGCCCACTTCAGATGATTATACTGAGGTGTTGTATAGCAGGCCAACTCACTTCCATCATTTACCCCAATTGTCTACAACACCACTTCGGGTCATCTCTTTAATTCCCAAACTGTCGTTTACACACAGATCCCCACGACCCCTTCAAAACAATCTCCACACGTCCATCATTAGGGAGAGCCAGGCCATCAACCAGTCTTAAATCAGCGTCTCATACACTCCGCGCTGGCGGATTCATTGTTAGTTTTAGTCAAGCTATATATGGTCTCTAGGATCAATGAACCAACATAAATAACATATAACTCCGCACATCTCTCTGAGTGGTTAGTGGTAGCAGTAATTCAAACATCTAGATCGCTCTTTCGAAACAGTTTTTCCCCCGTTCAGAAGACAATTTCATTCCACAGCACATATGAAAAAATGTGAATTAGACCAGATCCACCGCCGTATTCGGTTTTAAGACAATAGCGACTGAAAATTCAACAAAGGCCAGGCATAAGCCGCGTATAGCTATAAATATAGGATCCGTGCAACCTACAGTCACGTAAAGCATCCCAGCTGTGAGCAGGCGAGCGGGCCTCCGACCCACGTCCCAGCCGCCGTCACACACGTGTGACCCATTGTTGATTGATTGAGATTAGGATTTTATATCAAAATAAAATCAGATAAGAGACTAGAGCTTATTTCACGCATAATATAGAGAAATATAATAATAGAATTGAGAGATTAATAGATAGAGAGGAGATACCTGTTTCGGAACTCAGATTAGATTATTTTTTTATTTACTAAAGATCATGAGAAGATATTTAATAATTAGGGAAGTATATATTTTAGAAATTAAGTAGAGATGAGTTATTATAGAGATCTTCCAATCTGCCGTATAAACTTCGTACTCCTTCGCGATCCGCCCGCCAAACTCACCCAGTCCCTTCCTCGGAGCACTGCTTGCCAAGTAAACTACAGACAACACAGAGGAGCAGTGCTCACCGTTGCTAGTACTAGCTGCTACCTGCATCAATACTTACGACAACAACGATGAACAAGTAGTGTGTAGTAACAAATACTTCATTCCGTGATTTAGGACCTGCATTTTTTACGTTGTCGGCTCCAGAACGGTGGATTCAGCCAGCACAACTAGCTAGAGTCCTTATAAGTTTTCCTGGAGCCCCCGTAGACGAGTTACGCCCCACACATAATAATTCTTAATTTTACTGAGAGGAGTGCGTATTAACCGTAACAACGTTGTCGGGGCGGGACCGCGCCGTTTGATGAAGTTTTTTTTTTTATGTATCAAACGTTTAGCAAAGAAGCAAGTAAGTAGCACTCAATTGCTAATACGAGACATGATTCCCATGAGCCAAAAAAAATTAATAAGACGACGTTTGAACGGAGAAAAAGAGGGCTCGGAACATAGAGTACTATTTGTTCCACAGTCTAATAGATGCAGGAACAAAGGAGAAGATCAATGTGACTGAGATCCCAGCACTTTGTAACAATTCGTTCATTTCAGTCAGATAGTAAGCCTTTCAAGTTTTGGGTTGAACCTGCTTGCTGCTGTTCATTATTGGATTAGTTAGGGAAGCCATATTCTACACGGCGGCAGAGCCCCTTGGTCAACATTGCCGGGGAGCGCTCGATGCCGCCTAAGGCAAGCAAGTCGCGGAAGACGCCGTCGTCTAGTACTCCGAGCTCATGCCGCATCTGCTGTCAAAAAATCTGTCCGAATGACAATGTTCTCTTCTGTTCTGGAAACTGTTAAAAGCATCTTCATCGCTATTGCGCGAGCGTCAACGAGAAATCCTATCAAGCTCTGACTTCGGACGCGCCTCCTTCGCTCTGCTTCTGTTGCTACAAAGCCCAGAAAGATGAGGAGGTTGCACAACTGCTAAAAGTCATCAACCTACTCAAGGACAAACTGCATGCCATCAAGCTGAAGTTTTTTTGTTAGATTCCAATTTTAGTATTTTATATGACAGTTATGACATTGAGTATATTTCGTTTTTGATCAAGTCTTATATTTATCAAGCAATGTCATTGTATGTTCCCAAGTTTCTGGTTAAGCGACACCAAAATCTAAAGTGGTTTGACTCCGATATTTGCCATCATTTGAAGTGCGTGAGAACATTGAAAAGGAATCACCGATCCATCTGTTCATAGAGAAAACAAAATCCATAGTATGGAATCCATTCTCCAGAGCAAAACTAGTCTGGTCTACTTGTGTCAGCTGATTTGAATTCGCACCTACAATATCAGTTAATAACATCAAGGGCTTACAAAATGCTCGGCATCTTACGCAGAGTCTTCTCCAGTTCTATGGCGGCAGTCGGCCAAGTGTTCCCCGTACATTTCACTTGTAAGATCTCAGCTGCTCTACTGTTCTCCTGTGTGGCATCCTTACTTATTGGCTGATGTGAAATGCCTTGAGCTACTTCAGAGAAGGGCGACTAAGTTCATAGTGAATGATATTTCTTTAATTCATCTCAAACTGTTACCTTTGATGATGGAACTAGAAATTGCTGACATAATTATTTATTTTTCATCAAGTGTGTGAGGTATCCATCGGACCACTTCAACATGTTCGATTTTGTGCAGTTCAGTGCTCATCATACTCACTCAAGCTCCAATTTTAAGCTTAAACACACAGTTTCCAGGAACTATAACAAAAAATATTTTACTTCAATCGCATACCTGGACTATGGAACTCTCTCCCTCCTCTGGATATTAGTCTTCCTCTCTCTTCTATCAAATCCAAACTTCACAATTACTTCTTGGACCATTTCATCTCCCATTTCAATCCCAATGACGAATGCTCCTATCACTATTTATGTCTGTGTTACAAATGCTCTTCACTACCTGTTAACATGCACTTTAGCAGCAATTCAAGAGATTGTTGCTCTGGAAAGAGTACAATGACGTGCGTCCAAGTTTATCCTCAATGACTATCAATCAACTTACAAGCACCGCTTAATATCTCTGACAATCCTCCCTCTTATGATGCAACTTGAGCTGAATGACATTCTATTTTTCATTCGCTGTCTCAAGGAGCCTGACACATCACAAGCTTTTCAAATTCAATCCTTCATGAACTTTTCCAAAGGTAATACCCGCTCCACTACTTATCTTAAGTTGAATCACTCCTCTTCTAAAACATCTTCTGCAGCCCACTTTTATTTTAACAGACTCCCTCGGCTATGGAACTCTCTCCCTCCGATAAACTTGGAACTATCTCTCCAATCTATCAAGCGTCATCTCTTACAATTCTTTTGGAATCACTTCAAAACCAACTTTCAGAGTACAAATCCATGCACTTTTCACTTTCTTTGCCCATGCGCTAAGTGTTCCAGTAATAACAACCTGTTTCTCTTCAGTTACTACATCTTAGGACACCAGTACTCCCAAACTGGTGTTCCTTCAGTACACTTCTTTATAATTACCATTCATTTCTTATCCTATTTTATAGATCGCATTGTGTACTGTAAAGCTTGAAAATAAAAAAATAAAAAATAAAATAAAAATTCATTATAATACACTAGTGTATGTCTGTGTGTGTTGGTTTTGTTCTCTCGGATGCTGGCTCTTTGCCTACAGTCCCTCAACACAGTCTTTATAATTATTCTCATTACCACTTTCTTTACATCGTCCTTGTAATTAGTACTCACTGTGTTGTAAAGCATATAATAATAATAATAATAATAATAATAATAATAATTAAAGAACGTTGAAATCCAGTATGGTTCCAAAGCCAGAGTCGTTTTTGAAGATGTTGGTCTTGTCGCTCGTCATGCTTTTGATTTTGTTGACAAAGTTGACGATATATTTTGGTACGGAAAAGATACAGAAGAGGCAAGAGAAGCACTTTGTGACCGTGAGGACTTAGAGCCACTCTTTGAGCTTTTGGTTTTCCTTACATACCACATCAATGAAGCTGACCAGCAATATGCCGTCTTTGAGGAGCATTACAAAAAAGCTAACCAGAGCTGCCTAGCTGCTGCACGGAATTGATAACAAATATGCAGAGACTCCTCCTGCTCCTTTGATTCCCTCTGAATCCCTTGACTCCCGGCACTCTCTTTTCCTTGGCTCCCTTGACACAGGGTCTTTGGTATTCAGGGAGGGGGATCAGAAGAGTCCAGAAAGAAAAAAAGAGCCCTGGGAGTTCAGGTAGCTACAGTTGTG